AAAAAAAAAAAAAAAAAAACAAAGACTTAAGAATCTGTACATCCATAGCTGGGCTAAAGTCCCAGCACTCAGGAGGCAGAGGCAGGTGGCTCTCTGAGTTCAAGACTAGCCTGGTCTACAAAGTGAGTTCTAGCATAGGCAAGGCAACACAGAGAAACCCTGTCCCCCCCCCCCCCCAAAAAAAAAAAGATTGTGTACATTCCCCCCAAAGGACCAGAGTTTGGTTCCCTGCCCTCTCTGGGTGGCTCACCTCTGCCCCTCCCAAGGGATCTGATATCCTTTCTCTGGCCTCCTCAGGACATGTGCCCACATACACAAACCCGCACATAGATACAAATAATAACTCTACAAATGAGTGAAGTGGAGAGTGATTGGGGCCTGTACATGCTCACAGAGATAGGCGTGGGCAGTCACATGAATGCACACATACAGCACACACAGAAAAAAAACACAAGAAAATACAGTGGTTTCTATCTCTCGCTTTCTCTCCCATCCCTCCCTCCTTTTTTCCCTCCCTCCCTTCTGCTCTCATTTGTTTGCCTGTTTGGGTGATTTTCAGTTTGTTTATATATTTTTCTATATACATAGTGAACTCATCGTTCTACCTCCGTCTCTTGCTGGGAATTACAAGCATATTTGACACAGACTAGCATCTTGACTTCATGGAGCAGCTACTGATTGGCTTGGGGTGATGGAACGTTGGGGCTGACAGGCTGATTCCAGGGCATCAGATAGACCAGGGGCTTTGGACCTTCTTCCATGCCTAGAGGTGTCTCTTGAAGGCTTGTCACCACACAAAGATTACTGTGGACCAAGACAAGAAAGGAACTTGATGTGGGATGTCCCAGTTGATTTGGCTAGTGGTCTACTACAGTGGTCCAGGCAGCGGGCACCATGAGTCCTCAGGTATCCTTGAACCGGAAGAGTCACGGGGAGGGACACAAGAATAGGACTCAGGGGCAACCTGTTGGTGTCCCACTTACCCTGGGACCTCTCCAGGACTCTTGGAGAAGCCTTTTGAGGAGTTTCCTTCTGGGATAATAGCCTTGTCCTTTTCTTTCTTCCTTCTTTCCTTCTCTCTCTTTTTCTTTATTTCTCTTTCTTTCTTTCTTTCTTTCTTTCTTTCACTTTTTGTTTTGTTTTTTTTTCTTTTTTTTTTTTTTTTTTTTTTTTTGGTTTTTCAAGACAAGGTTTCTTTGTGTAGCCTTGGCTGTCCTGGAACTATCTCTGCAGCCCAGGCTGGCCTCAAACTCACAGAGATCTGCCCCCGTCTCTGCCTCCTGAGTGTTGGGACCAAAGGCTTGGACCACCACCACCCAGTTTTCTTTTTGTTGTTGTTTTGTTTCTTGAGACTGGATTTCTATTTGTAGACCTGGAAATTGCTCTGCAGACAAGGCTGGTCTGGAACTCAGAGATCCACCTGCCTCTGCCTCCTGAGTGCTGGGATTAAAGGTGTAAATTAGTACACCTGATTCACTCTTAGCTCTTAACTGCTGATCCATCTCTCCAGTTTTTTTGTTTTTGTTTTGTTTTGTTTATACTGTATTCTGCCTGCATGTACACCTGCATGCCAGAAGAGGGCACCAGAGCTCACTATAGATGACTGTGAGCCACCATGTGGTTGCTGGGAGTTGAACTCAGGACCTTTGGAAGAAAATTCAGTACTCTTAACCTCTGAGACATCTCTCCAGCCCTTTTGTTTTGTTGTTGTTGTTTTGTTTTTCTAGACAGGGTTCTCTGTGTAGCCTTGGCTGTCCTGGACTCACTTTGTAGATCAGCCTGGCCTTGAACTCATAGAGATCTGCCTGCCTCTGTCTCTTTAACACTAGGATTACAGGTCACTGCGCCTGGCTCCTTCCACCATACTTTTGAGGCAGGGCCTCTTCACTGAACCCTGCTCCCCAGCACTGGGGTTACAGGTGTGTGACTTTTATACATGGAGCTGCTGGGGGTCTGAACTGAAGTCCTCGTGCTGGCATGCCAAGTGCTCCTGCCCAGCACCTCCTCACTATATTCCCAATGAGAAAACATGAGCAGAGAAAATGAAGGATGGGAAAATAGCAAGAATGCATGAGCAGCTTATAAGAAAAGAACTGGCTTTGTAGGCCTCACTGGTGTCCAACTCAGAGATCCGCCTGTCTCTGCCTCTTGAATGCTGGGATTAAAGGTGTGTGCCACTACTGTCCTGAGAGGTTTGTACTTTGCAAGGCATGTACTCCGTTGTCTCCATCTGTCCAGAGCTCAGGCCATAAGCAGTCATATCTGTGTTTATGTAGTGTACTGGGCATCCCAGGCTGGATGTCAGCTCAGCCTGTGCCACCAAGCAGAGGCCGTGGGCACCTTCTAATGAGCAGACAGCTGTGTGGCTGCCCCCCACGACACTGGGCTGTACCACCTGCTCCCGGGGTTGGGGAGTGAGCATCTGAGTGGTTCAGACTCAGCTGGGTGCCAGCTCCCCACAGCATGGGGCCTGTGTGCCTTTCCCCAGGAGGAGCTGCAGTATTGACACATCCCCGGGTGCCGGCTCACTGTCCTCGCCAGCCTCCCAGCGAAAGGACCTGGGTCGCTCCGAATCCCTCCGAGTGGTCTGCCGACCACACCGCATCTTCCGGCCCTCTGACCTCATCCATGGGGAGGTGTTGGGCAAGGGCTGTTTCGGCCAGGCCATCAAGGTATGCCGATGGGGAGGGCCAGGCTGGGTGCCACCTCTGACCCCCTCTTCCCTCACTGTCCTGCTGGGAATCCAACACAGGGAGAGTCTAGATCCTAGACCCTCAGCCCAGTGTTACCCCACTTTTTCCTGGACTTCCCTGAGCTACTGAGAGGGAAGGGACTTTACATGAATAGACTTGGAACTTTGTGGGGTTTGTTGTTGTTGTTGGTTTTAAGGAGAAAGTCTTCTGTAACTCAGCCTGGCCTTGAACTCGCTGTCTAGCTGAGGATAACCTTGAACTCCTGGCCTTCTGTCTTTACCTCCCAAGTACTGGGATCACACTCATGCACTAGCATGCCTGGCTTTATTTTTTTATATCAGGACAAGGTCTCAAGGTCTCACTAAGTTGCCCAGGCTAGCCTCAAACTCACTAAATAATCCGGGCTGGCCTTGGACATGAGATCCTCCCAAGTGGATAGGGTTACAGGTGTGTGTTACCATGTCCTACTTGTCCCTGAGTTTTGTGCCTCCATGTCCCCAACATAGGTTACACACCGAGAAACAGGCGAGGTGATGGTGATGAAGGAACTTATCCGGTTTGACGAGGAGACCCAGAGGACTTTCCTCAAGGAGGTCAGTGGAGAGGGACAGTCACATGCCTCACATGTCTGCTCCCCTCCCAGGGAACAGAGCTCCAGATGGATGTGTTACATGTACTGTCTGGTAAAAGAGGTGAGAGGGGTTAGGCCTCACTAGGGACAGGGCAGCCACAAGCCATGGGTGTGGCTCAGTTGGTAGAGGGCTTGCCTAGCATGCATGAGGCCCTGGATTCAGTCCCCAGCATCCCATACACCGGGCACATGTATCATGGTGCCTGGTGTAGAGAGGCACTTGGAAGATGGAGGCAAGAAGATTAGAGTTCAAGTCAGCCTGGGCTACGTGAAACATTCACACAAAAAAGACAGGGAAGTCAGAACAGCCATGGGCTTAGGAGGTGCAGGTTGGTAGATACTTGCTTACCATGCACAAAGCTCTGGGTTCTAAGACCAAAGCTGGCCTTGGTGGTACATGCCTGTTATCCCAGCACCTAGGTGATGGTGCTGAGGGGATCAGGAGTTCAAGAACTTCCATGGCTACATAATTAGTTCAAGACCAGCCAGAGCTATGAGAGACACACTTGTTTTGTTTTGTTTTGTTTCATTTTTCCAAAAAGGCTTTCTCTGTGTAGCCCTGGCTGTCCTGGAACTCATTCTATAGACCAGGCTGCTCTCGAACTCACAGAGATCTGGCTGCCTCTGCCTCCCTGAGTACTGGGATTACAGGTGTGCACCACCACTGTTGGGCTTGAGAGACATTCTCAAAGAACAGAAGACACGGTAGTTTACTGGGTGAGAGGAGACTGGGTTCCTTGCTGTTCATATGGGACCGAGCAAGGGGAGAAGGTCCAGACCAGCCTGTGTGTTCCCTCCAGGTGAAGGTCATGCGGTGCTTGGAGCACCCCAACGTGCTCAAGTTCATCGGTGTGCTATACAAGGACAAGCGGCTGAACTTCATCACAGAGTACATCAAGGGTGGCACCCTGCGGGGCATCATCAAGAGCATGGTGAGCAGGGCTGTGGACGGGGCTCTGTGGGTAGAGTGCTGGCTAGGCTGGCATGGTGAGGTTTGGCTTCCGTTCCCAGCACTGCATAGACCTGGCGTGGTGGCTCAGACTTTTAATCCCAGCACGAGGGCAACAGGCAGGTGGGTCTTTAGGAGTTCAAGGCGAGCCTGGTCTACAGAGGAAATTCTATGACAGGCAGGGCTACATACTGAAACCCTTTCTAAATACACACACAAAGAAGGAAGGAGGGAAGAAGGAAGGGAGGGAGGGAAGGGAAGGAAAGGGAAGGAAAAGAAAAAAGAAAAGGGGACTGAGGGGCAGAGGCCAGGATCCCACTGTCCCCTTGCAGGGCAGTGGCCACCAATAACCTAAGACATTTTCGCTTAGCTCTACCTCTGGAAGCTACATCACTTCCCACTAGTGCCATGCTAGATAGAGACTGAGCGTTAATGCGTGGGCCTCTGGGGATACCCCAGTCCACACTGTAGCAGAGGGAGGCCCCATTCTCTCCAGAGCTGACTGCCACGGAGAGTGCAGGTGGCTTGTTGTACTTTCAGCTTTGACTGTGGAGGTTGGCTTGGCCTGGTTGGAAACTTGAAATGGGGGCTAGGGGGATGGCTCAGTGGGCAGAGTGTTTCACAAACATGAGGACCTGTGTTCAACGCTGAAGACTCAACTTAAAAGCCCAGCATGATGGCATATACCTGTAATCCCATCACTGTGGAGATGAAACATGATCTTTGTGAGTTCAAGCCCAGCCTGGTCTACAGAGCTAGTTCCAGGATAGCCAGGGCTACGTAGAGAAACCCTGTCTCAAAAAATAATAATAAATAGAAAAGAAAGCAAAGTGAATATATTTTTTTAAAAAGCCAAAAATATAGGGTTTTGAGGAAGTTTAATAGGTTACTATACTACTACCTATAATGGACTCATGGGTCATAGTTTCTGCCATCTGCCCGTCAGTACCCAACAGACACACACCCAGAGGAGCTGGGTTGGGAACCATAGGAGAACATGCGTGAACCCTTACTGTGAAATCAGTTCTATTGAACAAAGATGCCTTTAGGGTGTATAATCCTAACTCTGTGGCTGAAGCAGGCTGAAGCCTGGGCTACATAGAACATCATGTCTCAAAAAAAAACAAACAAGTGAAATGGCTCAGCAGGTAAAAGTGCTTGCC